TGACACCAACACAGTTTATTTGATGGCTTTTTATAAGGCAAGGTGTTTACGTCATGAGGAGTCAAATCACAGTAACTTCATTTTAGTGTTAAGATCCACAGTTATATGAGCAGTTCATAGATTCATATTCTGGGACTCATAACCATAGAGCAGGTCGGAGAGGAGAGGAGAGGAGAGGGAGGAGGGGAAGGAGACACCAGGAGAGTCTGTTTTTCTTCGTGGGTGAAAAGTGACGTCCAGTTTTCTATTTTGGTTCCTTTAAGTTCTGCTGATGTGAATGGTGACTAATTTAAAACCCTGTATGTGGCAGAGGAAAGAAGGCTAGATACCGGGTAGCATACCTGCCGGTTCGCCCAAATCTGATGAAAAGTTGCTAAACATCTAGACGGGCTGTGTGTAACACAAGTGATGCTAGCGTGACCGTCCTGGTGTCCTTGTGCAGGTCCCCAGCAGCAGGGTCCAGGTGCACAACTGCTTCTTTGAGCGGGTGAGCAGTGTCTAGGCGCCTTGGAGCCTACCAAGGAGGCAGGGTGGTAACAAGCAGCTCCAGCCTGTCATTCCAGAGTCTGCTTTTTGGTGTTGCTGGCTTTTTGTTTTTCAATCTTTAGTACCAGAGACTAAGCCCAGGGCCTGGTACGTGCTAGGCGAGTACTGCATTACCGAGCTGTATCCCCAGCCCTTTTTATTTTGAGACAGGGTCTGGCTAAGTTGCCCAGGCTGGCTTCAAACTTCCAATCCCCCTGCCTCAGCCTCCAAGGTAGCTGGGGTTACGGGCCTGTGCCACTACACTGGGTTACTTTTTGTTTTAAATTATTCTTTTAATAGTCTAAGGCCCTTGAACTAGGAGGGGCCCCCTCTAATGGATGTGTGTTCCCATGAGAAAATTTCTGGAAAGTGACGTCAGCAGCCTGTCATTGTCACAGCAGCTGGTGTAGGTGTTGATGTGTGCCCCTCGTGAGCAGAGGGGCTGCCCAGCTGCTTGGATCTCTTCAGACCACGGAGTTGAGCATTCCCGAGGAACACCCCGGGGTTGTATTTGCCTGTCACCTTGTCAATGATTATGATAATTTTTAACCCGAGACTCCCCATAGAAAATGGACCTTTATTTGCTGTTAAAAGCAGTGTTGGAGGCATTGCCAAGCGTGTATCATCCACAGCACTTACGTCTGCCGTCGGTGAACTTAGAATTCCAGCTGGGGACTCACTTCCCCATGAAGGCTTGGCCCCTCTCCTCTCCACTGAGTGACTTCGGCGTCCTCTGGCCCTTCCTGCCGGCAGAACTCGGGCACACATGCAGCTCAGTTGCACAGATGTGTTACCCACAGCGTAACCACACGCACTTTCCTCTTCTCATTGCTTCTCTGCTTTCATTTGATTAACTTCATTATTGACTTTTTTGTGATAAAGAGTTTCATACCCATTTGAGAAGGGTAGGCTGTGAAACACTGTCTTCATTAGCGTCATTAATGAAACAGAACTTGCAGAACAGACATCACACAGCAAAGCCATAGAGCGCAGGCTGTGGGGTTGGTGCGAGCCTTGGACTTCGGGCCGAAGCGGAGTGTGAGTGAGGCCCAGCTCTTCCGCTCAGGACCCTCTCGCAGCCTCTGTAAAGAGGGCATAATAATGCCTTAAATGAGACGTGCAGCATGTGATCAACATTTAATTAAGAATACTAAGGTGCACATTACTGCCAAGTATAGTTCACAGAACTCGGAGAAGTGTAATTGCATTCTCAGTTTCTGTCAGGCATGGAGTATTTTCTACCCTTCGACACCGTCACGCAGCATGCGGAATTACAGGACTCGGTTAGCGGTTGGGTTACTGATTGCCACATGATAAGAGGTGCCCTGTGGGTTTTCCCTTTCTGAACTGCAGGGCTTCAAAGCTGAGCTCTCTTCCTGAAGGGGGTGACGGGAGGCCCGCGCTGTCTAAGCCATGAGGTTATGCCAATTCTCCATACGGAGTGCTGTTGCCAGTTTTCATCTGTGATACACACACTTGGTTCTCAGTTCTCTGTGGTGATACAAGCAGGTAAACAAACGAAGCATGGACAGAGGACATGGTGTTAGCATGGTGTTCTCGGTCCACGCCCCGCGCCCACCCACCTTTTTGTTTGTTCTTCATTCCTGTACCCAAGACCGCTGCCCTCTGACTGTAGCCATCGCCTCTTCCTCTGGACACTTTGGGACTCCAGGGGCAGATTTTCCCATGCTGGCCCACCCCCTCTCCTCATTTCCTAGGGTTCTCTCAGAATTAGAGGTTCCCTGCATCACTCCAGCCAGAGAGTCCTGGGCTTGCTGTGGGAGGAGCGCCCGACGAGCCTGCTGATCTCGTTTCTGGCCTCCCGCACACACAGATGCGCCTCGGGGTCCGCACCATGCCGAAGAACGATTTACATGTTGTCCCTAATACCCTCCTCTCCCCTCCCATCCAACTTCTGCTTTAAAACTTTCAAATTGCAGAAAATAATGAAAGACTGTCTTCTGCCCTAGATTCACTAGATTTGAAACATTTGGACACCTTTGCCCCCCGGTCGTGCCTGAAGTGTTAAAAGTTGCTGAGACCTTGAGCCTTACCCCGCACACCTCCACCTGCATCTCCCCGATGCTGTGTCCCGTACAGCCGCAGGACCACTAGCACCTGACGGAGACTAACAGTTTCCTGGTCTCTCTCCCAGACCAACTCCGACTTCCCCAGCTATCTCAGCTGTGTGCTTCCCTCTGTCTCTCCCTCCACCTTGGGGATGGAACCCAGGCCTCAGATGTGCGAGGCAAACACTCCAACACGGAGTTACCCGCTGGCCCTGCAGCCTTTCCGCGAGGAGTACCTCTGGGCCTGCCCCTCCCGTAGGCCGACCATGGCTCATCTTCAGCGTAGGGCACCTTCTGCATTTCTCCGAGCACCTCGTCACTCTCTCTCCTGCGTTTCCTACACACCTGCGGTGAGCTCCAGAGGCCTCTGCCCACTTGCTCTTAAAATGACAGCCTGACGTGGGTATTGGCCTTCCTTTTCCGTCCTCCCTTTCCACGAGAGGTGTCCTGGTGAGCCTGCAGCTGTGCCACGCGAGGCAGCCCAAGCCACTCGGCCTGTTTGTCTGTTCTCTCGGTAGCTATGCTCTGAGCACCTGCGCTGGGTGCTGTTAGCTCTGGAAATACTGCAGGCGGCCGGGGAGGTGCTGGTGTCCCACGCACCTCCATTCTAGCCGGGGGAGCTCACCGAAAAGAAGCGGATTGGTAACGGAACTAGGTGGGAAGATGGCCAGTCAGAGCGTCCGTGGCAGCCAGGCTTGGCGGTGCGCACCTATCACTTAGCAGTGATAGGGGCTGAGGGGCTGGGCAGGAGATCATAATTGGAGCCCAGCCTGGGCAATTCAACGATTCGGCAAGATACGTTAAAAAATAAAAGGTTTTTTAAAAGGGCTGGGATGTAGCTGAGTGTCAGGGCTCTGGGTTCATGTCACAGTGCCACACACACACAAACGTGAATCATGGTGTTATGGGTGGAGCACGGCTTCCTCTCTCTGGTCTGGGGCAGTAAGCTCTGTGTGGGGTCTGGAGGACAGACACACACAGGCCCGGGGCCAGGGCCCAGGGGCCTCAGAAGCAGGATGGGAGTGAGGCTGCTGCGGAGTCAGCCAAGGGGACCCACACAAGGCTCCTCTGCAGAGAGCTTGCCTCCTGCTCAGGGCCAGCATTTCCAGGACTTCCTGTTCCTGCATTCACTCATCTGTAAGGCACCCTAAGGCCGATGATCAGTTAGCAGAGGTAGCTGAAAAAAAGAACTCCTGCTCACTTACAAATCAAGCCCAAAACTCATCCCACCAATGTACGGGCCATCTTTAGAACCTATCTCCATTTCAGAAACTTCAACACACACACACACACACACACACACAGGGTGCTGTTTTGAATCAAAGAAGTACTTGCTTCTCCTTTATTTTGGGAACTACCCCTGGCTAGTTTCAGAAAGAGGCGTGGCTGTCCTTTAGAGCTTCATACCTAGCAAAGGAAATGGTAAACAAGGCCAGTCCCCAGGCCGCTGGGAGCCTGCGAGGAACCGGCAGAGGTGGGGCGTGGCCACAGCAGTTCGAGGAGCTCGAGGCAGCGGGAGTTTCTCAGCATTGCTCCTCCCCGGTACTGCCTGACAAACACGTTTCTCCTCAGCTCTAAGCCACCTCTCTTTCCTCTGAAGTTCTAAGAATTGGCCCCCAGATTTGGCAGTGCTCCAGAGTGGGAAGCACCAAGCCCCCACTGGGCCCCAGAAGAATTTCCTAGACCGTGTCCAGGGAACCGCTGCCCTGTAGGACCTTCTGGGAAATCATGACAGATACCTTGTTTTTAAAGTGTAGGTTCAACCTGAGGCCCGCGGGATGGGTCAGGGTGTAAAAATCAAGTCACCAGCATTGTGCCCGGCATGTGCTGTCCTCTCCACCCCCACCCCCACACTCCTGGCCCTCCCTGCCTGCTCCTAGCGGAAGGGGCCGAATGTTGTTGAACCAGTTCCTGAAGTGGCCGCGCCACCCTGCCATCACCGTGCTTCGCATGAAGTTCCTTCTTCCTGGAACCCCGTCGCTGACTTTGACACCTGGCTCATGCCCCTCCTGTCTCAAGGCATGGAGCAGCTCCTTCACCAAGCTGCCCTGGCCGCCTGCTTTTCCTCTTGCCTGAGTTAGGGGTCTTTTTTAGGTCTCTTGCAGCCTGTCGTTGACTTTGTACCATAATTTAAATTCATTCATCTTTGCCACAAAAATATTTAGAATAGAAATTATGTCTGGATGACAGAACACTGATGCTCAGTCAATATTTATGAATGAGTGAATGAACAAATGAATGGATGAACAAGCAAACCTGTTCGTGAACTATCCACCTTTGAGTGTATTTGTGTGTGGTAAAGAATGAAATGTATTCTTTTTTCTCTTCTTGAATGGAGAGATTTCTAATGGCTTGAAGCCAGTTCTGGAATAGTAAAACAATATTACTGTTTTTATATTCCAACAGGAAATATGGGATGTATAAAATCAAAAAGGAAAGACCATCTGAATGACGATGGAATAGATTTGAAGACTCAACCAGTACGTAATACTGACCGAACTATTTATGTGAGAGATCCAACGTCCAATAAGCAGCAAAGGCCAGTAAGTAGATAGTCTCAGGGGAGAATTCCCACCACAGGCTCAAAGTATGGCTGCCCTATTTAATCCCCCACCTGTAATATATGCATACAAATATCACATGGATTGCTTGGGTCCCAAATAATTTCTGATATGCCTCATAAATTAATCCTTTGAAGACCGTGTAAAAAGTTTAGGGAAAACTAAGCCACTTATTGGACAATAAATAGGCATTTGGTCACATTTTCCTGTGTAGAGAAAACCATCTTTCCTGTTACTGGTGAGTTAAGATAGGTAGTGAAACCCAGGGTGTTGGCACACACCTGTAATCCCCATACTCCGGAGGCTGAGGCAGGAGGATCGCTGTGAGTCTGAGGCCAGCCTGGGCTACATAGTGAATTTAACATGAAATACATAGCGAGACCGTATCTCAAAAAAAAAAATGAGATTAGCACTATAGACCTAACATACACACAAAAAAATACTGGATTCACACTAGAAGTTATACTACTAAATTAACATGCATGATGTTTCTGGATATACACATTACCATTCTAACATGTTAAATTACAGATAAAAATGAGTCTACTCCAAGTATATAAGATTATTAGTAGCTTTAATTGTTTATTGATGGTAAATACACATCAATGTGATATTGAAGACTGACCGCAGGCCTTTGCACTGGGAAATATGCCTCGCCCCTCTGTATTCTGAGAGAGGGCCTCACTTCATTGCTAAGTTAGTCTCTAACTTCCCATCTTTGTGCCTCAGCTTCCCAGGTTGCCGGAATTATAAGCGTGTACCGCCATATCCAGCTTCAGTGTAGAAATTTAAGGCATGTTACATAAAGATGTACAGTTATGGAACTACATAGTACATAAATATGATCAACAGAAAGTAAAATGAGAGGAACCTGAGTCGCAGATAGTCTTCTTTTAGACTTCAGAGCTCCCTGTAAAAAGACCTATTTATTTCTGGTACCCAATGCTATAGCCTTACGTGCTTTAAACCCAAGGGTTTCTTTTGTTGTTGTTATTATTTTGGTTTTGTTCTTAAATGGTAAAATGAAGATGTCCTTATTCAGAAAAACAAAAGAGACTAGTACAAAATTGCGTCCATTTTCTCCTCTTGTTCAGAGTAAGGGATATTAAAACTCCAGTTAGAAAGCAGAGATGTACGTACACATGTTTGAAATCTTTCAATTCCCTCACGTATACTGTAAGTGTCTTTGTTTGTACCTTGTGTGGTCCACAGATGCCTGTGCTTCATGAGCCGATGCGTTTGGCCTCTGTGGCCATAAATATCATTCTTAGCCCCACCAGCTGTGCCAGATGCATGCCAGGGACTGATTGCATTTGGGTCTAAGGAAGAGGTGATGTCAAATTGCTGCAAATCCACCAGCCCTCTAGGAAAAGCTGTTTTAAGGAAAGATCTAGAGCACCAGTATAGGAGTCATGTATAGTGTACATCTTTTGTTCTTACGGAAGGTATTAAGGTGGACTGGACGGGGTGACATTTGCCTGCTGCCCCGGCTGCTCAGGTGGATGAGTCAAGATCACGGAGCTTATGAGTTCAAGCAGTGAGATGTCCTTAAGACAAAAAGCATTAACAATGTTTGTACGTTAAGTCTCTGATCTTTGCAAATCCTCTTGCTGCTTTTAATTAGTTTCTCATCTAATTATTGCCTCTGAATCACGTAAAATAAATCATATTTCCTGATTAGGCAAATCTAAATGACTCAATTTTTAAAAAATCAGTGTAGAACTTCTTTGAATAAGTCTGGAAGGAGAACATGGACCCATGGCAGACCCTTTGGTGTAGTACTTTTCCCTCCTCACAGAATTTGAGATTTTATAGGCTGACTTTCATAAAAACTCCAGTTGAAGGATAATCCATTTTCTTCCAGTTCCATGAAATCACTTTGATCAAGGAAGCAGAAACGCTCACGGCCGTGGCGTAGGCCCTGGCAGCGCCTTCCTTAGGCGAGGCCGCCAGACCTCACAGGGCCGCACCGTGGCACTGGGGGGAGAAGGTGGCCTGCTGTGCATTCAGGCCCTGCTCAGCAACTCCCTTCCCTGCCACGCTATCCGTGGCGTCCTCTGTGTCCACAGCGGAGTCTGGGTCAGCCCAGCGCGAGCCTGGACCAGCTAGGATTTGCTCCCCGCGGCCAGCGGCAGCCCTGGCCACATGCCTTTCTACAGGTCCAGGAAACGTGGAGGTGGGCTGGTGTGATAATCCTGCAGAATTATCAGGGCCCGGCTGCTTCTGTCCTTCCTGCTGCTGTCCCCGGTGTTTGGTTTGCATGGCTGCTGGGGCTCCAGCCTTCCCTTGTGACCAAGCAGAAAGAAGGAAGCGAGAGAAATGAGGAGGCCCTGGAAGTGCCCACAGGCCGCGGAGCTGCTGGGCTCCCTCCCCATCAGCACCGGGGCTGGAGGCTTGCAGGAGGCCTCTGAGCGGGGCAAATTGCCACGTTAAATAATCATAAGGTTCTGTTACCAAATATGAAGGAAACGACAGTGGGCAGGCACGGGGCTGCTGCCACCCAGAGCCCTGTTCAGTGCCCGCCAGCAAGGCCAGTGACTCTTAGAAAGAAGAGCAGCGCCCCGCGTAGGTCGCGATCTCGCTCCACGCAATTTTCTCTGTGCGCGGCCCTCGGTCCAGCTTAGTCAGTTAGCAAATTCGAACCCACGCGCTGCTGTTAGGAGAACGATACACAAATGAATGTGAGTAGAAAAGGCTGAGTATAAATCATTTTTTATAATAATTATTCTCTTGTAGGTTCCAGAATCTCAGCTCTTACCAGGACAGAGGTTTCAAGCTAAAGGTATGTTTTCTTAGCAACATAGTTAATGTTTGTTCCTTACTGCTAGAGCCTCTATAAAGTCATTGTCCAGGAGGTTTGTAATTACTTTTTATTGAAGGAAAAAATATATAACATAAAATTTGACATTTTAACCATTGAAGTGCTAAGTTCCGTGGCATTAAGTACGTTCTCGTGCTGTGTAACCATCAGCAACACCCATCGTCCCAGGCTGAGCCTCCATGCCTGCTAGACACCCCTCCTTGCATCTGCTCCCTGCTGCCCCGGGAACCACGCTGCTCTTGCCGTCTCTGTGGATGTGATTATTCTGGGCGCCACATGGAAGTGGAAGCGGGTGTTTGTCCTTTGCTCCTGGTTCATTTAATTTAGCATCACGTTCTCAAGGTTCATCGATACTGCAGCGTATGTCAGAATTTCATTTCTTTTCAAGGCCGAGTAATAGCCCGCTGTGTGGCGAGGCCACATTTCGCTTGTCCTTAATTCGTGGGTGGATGTTTGGGTTACTTCTGTGAACGATGCTCTGATGAACATGGGCACCTGGATTTGTCGCTGGTTTAGTTTTGCAGTCGTAGTAACTGCACCCATCCTGGGGAATCGGCCCTATACATACTGCACCTCAGTTGTGGTTGTTCCCTCCTGCCTGCCTTTCCCTCACCCTCCTTCTCTGGTCTCTTCCTTATCTCCCCAAAGTCTGCCTTCTTGTTTCCTACCATCTCTATTTCTGACCTTTAAATTATTTATTTTTGGATTTCTCATATAAGAGAAACCATGAGATATTTCACTGATTTATTTAGCATTATGGCCTCAAGATTTGCCCATTTTCCTACAAGTGACTCAAATTGATTCTTCTTCATGGCTGAATAGTACTCCACCATGCATGTATGCCATGTTTTCTGTATCCATTCATCTGTTGATGGGCGTATAGGGCCCTTCCATAATTTAGCTGTTGTGAGTTGTGCTGCTATAAATATGGGTGTGCGTGGATCACTGTCATATGATGACTTTAACTATTTCAGGGAGATACTGAGAAAAGGACTAGCTGGGTCAAATTGAATTTCTTTTCTAATTTTTTGAGAAATCTCCATACTGATTTCCTTAGTGGTTGTACCTTTCCACCGGTAATATAGCAGGGTTCCTTTTCCCCCACAACCTTGCCCGCATTCTGGCACACCGTTTCTTAAGCACAGAGCCAGGATTATAGTTCTGGCAGGCGTGACGGATCATGAATACTGTGCTCAGTGTGTAGAACGCAGGCTCTCTGGACCTCAGCGCCCTCCCCCAGCAGGCAGGTGTGTCCTCGTCCCACTCGCCCCTCTTCAGGGCTTCCTGGCCCTGTAGGGATGTGTTAAATCATTTCTGCTGATGGAGTCTTAGAAACTTTTGCTTGTGTTCTGCAATTTTAGATCCAGAGGAGCAAGGGGACATCGTGGTGGCCTTGTACCCGTACGACGGCATCCACCCAGATGACTTGTCTTTCAAGAAGGGCGAGAAGATGAAAGTCCTGGAGGAGTACGTGCGCCCAGACACCCCCTGTTTTGCTTCCAGGGCCCGGATGACACCCACACTCGCTCCTTGTAATGGGTGTGAGGTCTCCCGACCCTTCATTTGCCATAAACTCAGCAGGAGGCCAAAGGTGTTTCCCTTCTGAGCCCGGCTGTGAGCGCCGTCCGCAGGTTTCCCCTCTGAAGCAGACACCAGTTTCTGCAGCAGGCTGTCCTGCCTTGGGAAGTTTGGGTCTGTGTGACATCTACAGGGTATTTTAGGCGGCTATTTTTATTGAGTCTGGTTACTCAAATTACACTGGCTTACGTCCCAGCTGTTTGATTTCCTGGGTCGGCCCTGCTAGGCAGCACGGGGCTTCCTGGAAGATGCTCGGACGCTTCGTTTCTCTGACCCCTGCATGGTGACTCACAGCCGCATGGCCCTTCTCAGGCCCCTGGGGTACAGGGCAGCATGAGGAATAAGGAACTCGGAGTGTTTTAATCCCAGCTTACTTTTCCAACTGATTTGAGCATCCACAGATGCTCTAGTTCCTTGTGTAAAGTAGTGTAGTAGTTACATAAAGCTCTGCATACCCTCCTATCCAAGCGTCACCCTGGCCCTCTGCATAGGGGGAGGGGACTCCGCTATTAAGGAATGATCGAGAGTAATGTTGCTTTTGGTTGAGCACAAACTTGAGTCTAAACCCGGTCCTTCCTCTGGATGGCTGTGTGACCTGGAAAACTTACACAAAGTCTCTAACTTCGCATCTTCAGTTATAAGATGGGAGTGACACTGTCTGATCATGGGTTGTCACAAGCATGGTTTTGTGTGTGTGTGTGTGTGCGTGTGTGTGTGTGTGCATACAGCCGCCACTGAGCATCTCAGGAGACGGGTTCCAGGGCCCCCTTGGTGCTAAAATCCACAGATGCTCCTGTCCCTTACGTAAAATAGTGCAGTGTTTACATAAAAGCTCCACGTATCCTCACTTTATGTCTAATTACTCATCATCCTTAAAGCAATGTAGGTGCCATGCAAGTAACTCCTATGCTGTATTATTTAGGGAGTGACAAAAGGGAAATGACCTGTGTGCGTGTAATGCAGACCGAACTCTGAAAAGGTATTTCCGGTCTGCACCGGTTGAATGTGAAGATGCAGAGCTCACGCCACAAAGGGCCGCCTGTCTGTGTAAACACTGCACGGCGCGGAGCAGGCAGGAGCCGCGTGTGAGCTGTGTTTTCCTTCACGCTCACGGGCACGGAGCCTCCTGTGTGAGCACCAGCGAGCCCACCGGCCCTGCTGGCACCGCCACCGTGCTCTGTGCCCGCCCTGCAGCTTGAGGATGAGGCCGACCCGCTTGGGATTGTTTTATGGTTGCTTCTTCCACTCATGGCACCCACCTCCGTGGATGTTTTAACAAGGGAACTTTGACACATGAACTATGGCCCGTTATTTCCTTGGCCTCTATCCCTGTAAGCATCCTAAAGCTCTTCTCAGCTGGCCCGGAGGAAATGACAGATGTTTCGCTTCTGCAGATAGGATCCATCTTACCAGCCCCTTTTATGCGGCCTGTTTTCCTTCGCTTCCACCTTAAACAGCTTTGCGACATAGACGGGAGTAGCTTTCCCAGCGTGCTCTGTCCCCACCCTCCCTCCCTTGCCAGCAGGTAGCCTGGGGCAGTTGCTGTTCAGCCCTTGAGTCTTGGATATAAGCACCTTTCTGTGTGTGTTTTTATTCCAGACACGGAGAGTGGTGGAAAGCGAAGTCCCTGTCCACCAAGAGAGAAGGCTTCATCCCCAGCAACTACGTGGCCAAGGTCAACACCTTGGAGACAGAAGAGTGAGTCCGCGTTTGTCGTGACTTCCGAGGGTGGCGCTCTCCGCGTTCAGTACTTTTCATTCCTCATGCTTTGCCTCCTCCGCAGCCTGAGGCCTATGAAACGTTGCAATGTCTTCACAGGTGGTTTTTCAAGGACATAACCAGGAAGGACGCAGAGCGACAGCTCCTGGCGCCAGGGAACAGTGCGGGAGCTTTTCTCATCAGAGAAAGTGAAACCTTAAAAGGTAGGAAGTGGATCAGGGTCTCTTATAGACACTACTTAGGAAGCAGTTGTTTAGAAAATACTCTAGAACTGCTAAAAAAGGATATGGTGAGTTCTGGTAGTGAAAGTTTTGTACTTTGGTAACAATAAACTCAAACAATTCCTTTTGCTGCTAAAAAGAACATGGACAGCAGGTGTGTCATTGTGACCGGGTCTGACGACGCCTTATGTTTGCTGGGTTTCTTGCATTATTATTTGGAGTGAATCTTAAAATTTTAAGAGGAAGGAAATCAAGATTATTCTTCTGTTCGGCTAATAAGTAATTTAAAAAACTATCGTGGAATTAAACTAGCACTTTGGCAACTTGGGCAGCCAAGAAAATGCTGGCTTCGTTTGTCAACTAGAATTTTTATGAGACTTTTTAAGTTATGTGTTATGTACAAGTTTAACTTCTGCTTTGCATATTTTATGACAAGATGTGTACCCCAGTGTGGTACAATGCAGACTTTACTTGTAGAATACGAACTTGCGCCTCTACTGACACTTATTTTCCGTAGGAAGCTTCTCTCTGTCCGTCAGAGATTTTGACCCTGTACATGGCGATGTTATTAAGCACTACAAAATCCGCAGTCTGGACAACGGGGGCTATTACATCTCCCCACGCATCACCTTTCCCTGCATCAGCGACATGATCAAGCATTACCAGAGTAAGTGACAGCCGCAGCGTGAACAAGGCGGAATGTGTTTGTTACGGCAAATGTAAGATGTCAGATACTCCTTTTCTGTATTAAAACATTTTATGTACCATGTCTGTTTTAGATAAAGCTGGCAGGTCACATTCTATAATTGATTCTAAATTTAACTGTGACTAAATACACAAGTGGTCCTTGATTTACGATGACGTTATAGTCCAGTAAACCCATTAAAATTTGCCACTATGCAAGTTGAAAATGCATTTAATATACGTAATCTACCAAACAGCATAGCTCCACCCAGCCTACATAAGGTGTACTCTGAATACTTACATTAGCCTGTAGTTGGATAAAATCATCTCACAGCACAAAGCCAATTTTATATTAAAGTGTTGAGAAGCTCATGAAGTTTCGTCACACTGCACTAAAAGAGAAAGCCAGAATGGTTGTGCAGGTGCACTTTTCTGCCGTGGTAAAGTAAAAACAACCCTAAATGGAACTGTTGTAAATTGGAGACTGTTCATTCACAGTGCGATTGATCTTTTTAAATAACTGTGCTAGTCCTTTCTGCCTCGACAATGCTGTTTGACATCTGATGTTCCACAATTAGAGAGAAATGTATTTTTTTTGCACAGTGGATATGTTTATGATGGACCCAAATGTTTTAAACCAGAATTTGGTCTTGCGGGTCTATGTTTGTGTGTACATAGGTCGTGTGTAGAAGCAAAATACAGTTTGTAAAAGAAAACAGAAATAGTAGCAGTGGCAGTAGCAGGCCAGAGTTGCTTGTCTCTGAGGTCACTTTCCAGCCCAGTGAAGCCTGTACCATGACCTTTAGGTCATTTCTTGTGTGGCTAGCACTGGGGACAGAGGTTATTACCTCTGCTTCTTTCTGCATTTCTCCAAGAGAATGCACAATGTAAGTGTGTTTCGGACCTGAAACACAGAGAGCAAAGGACCCCAGCTTTCATGGCGTCCCCTCCCCCCATCCTCTTTCACTCGTGTATCTGGCCATGTGTTGAGCTCTTGCAGCGCTTGGTGCAGTTCTGAGCTGGGGGCGCAGGGGTGACGTGGCTACATCCTCACCTCTGTGCCCCGTGGAACTTACGTGGGCCCAGAAGTCTGAAACCACATTCATTCAGTGTGATAATCTGTCACTGTCTTTTTGCTTTGCCATTTTGCCTTGCTGTTTTCATACATTGGCAGTATCAAAGGATAAAATAAAATGTTTCAAGTTGTCTTAAGAATTCCGCAAGTCGTGATGATGTCCGAGATAGCTATGTCAGCATTTCAAGTTTGTAAACTACGGCAGGTTGGATATTACCAAATTAATAGTCCAGGCTTTGCTTTGTAGAAACGGGTCCCATACAAAGTATGTACAGTTGACCCTTCACGGCTGTAGATTCTGCATCTGAGAATTCCACAATCAACCAAGTATAGAAATATTTTTAAAAGTTGAATCTGTATTGAACATATACCAATTTTTATATAGCATTTATATCACATTAAGTATTACAAGTAATCTAAAAATGACCCAGAGTATACGGAAGGATGTACATAGGTTAGATGGAATTATGACATAATTTTATATCTCGAATAGTCATGGATTTTGATGTGGAGAGGATTTCCCTGGAAGCATCCTCTTTGGACACGGACTATTTGCCCTTCTTAAACTTGGTTTTCTCTTTCAAATTAGAGCAGGCAGATGGCTTGTGCAGAAGACTGGAGAAGGCGTGTATTAGTCCCAAACCACAGAAGCCGTGGGATAAAGATGCCTGGGAAATCCCCCGGGAGTCCATAAAGCTGGTGAAAAAACTCGGTGCTGGACAGTTTGGGGAAGTCTGGATGGGTGAGTGTGTCTGGAGCCAGTGTCCCACTCTGGGGACAGTGATGAAAAACGTGCAAGCGGTTTCTTTCAGCTTCTGAGCCAGCCGCTAAATGGTATCAGAAGCATCATTCCTTTACTTTCTTCTGTGCATGTGGGAACACACACCGACCTGCAAAATCTATCTACTTCAACTCTTGCTGTTCCTTGTGACTTAATCATTCTCTTACTGTTGTAAGGGAGAAAGCGGTGGGTATTTTTCCAGAGTGTTCTGTCTACTCTTTCTTAATTCTTTCATCCTTGGATTCTCCAGATGCACATTTGAAGCACAGGAGATTTGCTTCCATCTCAGGGAGAGCTGCGCTTATGGGTAGGACCATTGGCTTAATGAGAACCCTCACATTTATTGCAATGGGAGGGTCACCAAGAAAGTTTCTGAGGGTTCTCAAAGTCGCATCCTTAATGAACCCTTCCTCAAGGCTCAGTACCCTCTCAGGCTAAGTACCCCCTCAGGCTGCAAAGGTACGCACAGACTTACAGCAGGACTCTCTCCAGGGTGTTCTTTTGGCCCATCTGTTCTTCTGTGATAAGAACTTAGAACTTTTAAGCCATCGTGCTCTCCTTATGGTTGTAATGAGAAAATGCAGTAGCTCTGGAAAGGGTGGCACGGGAGGTCAGACCCAGCGGACTAGGTCCTTTTCTCTGGGCCCATTTTGTGTGAGTGAAAGCAAAGGGATTTCTAGGTAGAAGGGGCAGTCAGCTTTTTAAAGTGCTTCAGCCGCCACTGAGCAGAAGCCGAGGGCTTCTGGGCTGGCGCAGCCGCATGGTCACACCACTGCCACAGCCAGAGAGCTGGGAGGGAGCGGTTTCCCTCCTAAAGACGGGCCCCAGGATCACAAGCAGCACGGTGTGCTTTCTCCTCTCGGCACCCCAAAAGCCGAAGTGTCTTTTCAGTATAGCAGATGCTGATCCAGCCTGTAAGCAATTCTCACTGCGCTGTCTGAACTCACACGATCTGCAGAATTCAGGTAAACCTTAATCAGAGAGCGTCACTTTCCCGGTTTTGGTTGGCGCATCTCGGAACCAGCTGGCAGCGCACATCAGGTAATGTTCTCGTGCCTTCCGCAGATCTGTGGGCTCCGGCGCTCGCTCCAGCCGTGGTCCTTCCCAGATGCGTTCCGCTGCCTGCGTCACAGCATCATCCTCACGTCTCTCCTCTTTTAAAACCTTCGTGTGAAATCAGCATCACACAAAATTAATCGTTTTAGAGCGAGCACTTCTGTGGCAGTCAGTACCTTGGCCTGTTGTACAACTGCCACCTTCACCTAGCTCTACCCAGATGAAGCGCTGTAGCCGTTAGCCAACAACTCCCCGCCCCCGTCCCCTCAGTCCCTGGCAACCGCTGTTTTCGACTTTCTGCCCCTCTGAATTTGACTGACTATTCTAGGTGACTCATGTAAGCCGTGGAGTCATAGACTATTTGTCTTTTGTATCATTTAGTTTATTTCACTTCGCAGAATGTTCTCAAGTGTCGTCCATGCTGCGGTTTCTTTCTTTTCTCTGGCTGAGTAATATTGCATCATATGAATGTACCGCCATGTGCTTATCTGTTTATCTGGCCGTGAGCATTTTGGTTGTTTCCACCTTCAGCTGTTAGGAATAATGCTGCGTGTATTTTCATGTTCGGTTATTGTGTAGACACATATTTTCATTTCTCTTCGACTCATCCTAGGAGTGCAAACACTGGGTCACGTGGTATGTCCGGGTTGAACTTTTTGAGGAAGTGTAAAGCTATTATTTGCTCATTTAAAAATGACTCACCTTATTCATATTTCCCCTTGAGATATTTTTATTTATTTCTTTTCCCAAATCCACAGAACAAAGGCAGGAATAGTATAGTGAACAGTGTGTTTCACCAGTTGTTAACACAGACTTGTACTTTGCTCCGTCTCTCTCTGCCTTTCTCTGTCTCTGTCCCTCTGTCTGTCTGTCTGTCTCTCACATACATACACACACGCACATTGTTGAGCCACTTGGGAGTAAGCGCAGGTGTGGGATTGTTTATTTTGAAATATTCAAGTGTGCATTCCCTTGGAGCAGGACAGTTCTGCATAATCCAGGGATGACATTTGGAAATTTAACGCTGACACATATTGCTATTTAATATGCGCTTATATTTAAACTTACAAATGGTTCATTATCTCCATAATGTCCTGTGGCTGTTCCCCCGACCTAGGGTAACATTTGTGCTTCTTTAATCTGCAACAGTCCTGCATCTGATCTTCATCTTTCACGACACCCGCATCTTACAGGACTCAGGTCAGTTTATTTTCAGAATGACCTGAAGTCTGGGCTTTTCTGATGCTGCTCTTAACGTGGCTCAGCTTGGGCCCCTCGTGCGGCGTCTGAGGGCCTGCGCCGTGCTCTTTTCTCAGCACATCTGTCAGGAGGCTCGTGGTGTTGGTTCCGCTCTTGCTAGTGTTCTCTCTGGTTTTGGAGGAGACGCACAAGATTTCTCCACTTTTGTAATTGGTCAGTAATCTGTGGGAGAATCTTTAAGGCTGTGTAAAAAGAAGTTTCCCAAGTGCCTTTATCAGAGTCTGCTCGTTTTTAGTTTTCCCTCTTAGAGGCACCGCATCTCTGCGCAGCCGTAGCACCCGCTGTCCTCCTCCCTGCTTCCTAAACAGGTCTGCTCCGGCTCACCAACTCGCCTCAGGGGCTCACCAACTCGCCTCGGGAGCCATGGCCTCGGCCGTCTCCCCCAGGCCTTTCCTTGCAGCGTAACCCCTTCCGGGAGAGCACTGGCAGAGAAAACCGTACTGTAATTGCATTTCATCGTGCCCTAGTCTCTGAGTGCGTCTGAGTGCTGCTTCCTTTACGTGCTAACTGCAGCTGCGAGTGTGGACCCTGAAGAAGGAGGCGGGAGGGGAGAGAAAAGTGCGCAGGGCTGAACCAGCTCTGCAGCTCTGTTATAGGTGCCTTTTCACAGCCATCCTAGTAGCACGGCAAGAGAAACATCACTGTCACTTGGTGAGATTAGGTAAGGAAGCTGCCCAAGAGAGAGCAGGAGAACGTCAGGCTGATTTGTATGTGGGAGCCCTGGACTCCACGGTGAAGCCATCTACAAGTAAGCTTGACTTCCCAAGCTTCGGTTGCCACATCAGTGACGTGCACAAAGGACTCTCTCATCAGTTGCTGAAAGGTAGAACAAGACTATGTGACCATCCAGTCTGGCCCTTCGTGCTGTTTGTATTATTATTTTCACTTCTGTGTGTTTAGCCCCAGTCACCAGAAGCTATCTTTCGATGGAATGTTCCTACCTTTAATTATGAAATCAGACTCTAAATCGTGCACCTAGCCGGGCGTGGTGGTGCATGCCTGTAATCCCAGCACTCGGCAGGCTGAGGCAGGAGGATCGTTGTGAGCTCAAGGCCAGCCTGAACTGCATAGCGAGACCCTGTCTCAATCAATCAATCAATCAATCAATAAATAAATAAATATCAATTGTGCACCTGGACCCTCCCGTGGAGAAGCGCTGGTGGGGGAGATGCACGTGAGTTGTGAGGGGCACGGGCCGTAGTTCAGTTGCACTGTACTCATCCGGTATAAGCGGTCGCCCTGAATGTAAAGTGAGAGCTTGAGATTTTTGCCTCAGCCCTCCCTTGAGCAACTGTGAAGCCAGGATAAGGGACAGAAATGCGTGCTGAGAGCTCAGCGGCTGCCAGCCCAGTGCACCTCAACCCAGTTGCTTGCGTGGGCTGCGTGCATGCGGGTTGTGTCGGTCAGTGTTGCTTTAAGAGCGCACTTGCTGCCCTGCTGGGAGCCTGGCGTCAGGAGTGCTGTGGTCAGCAGTGCGGTCCTACAGCTTCGGGCGCTTCCTGGCAAGGCGGAGGCAGCCTCCGCGTGTGCTTCCCGGGACCCGGGTCAGCGGCAGCAAGGGTTAGAAAGCGCAGGGGCATAATTGTGAAACAGGAAATTGGCTGGCCACTCTGCTGACCTTTGGAAGTCATCGATTTGAGCAAAGGGCTTAAGATAGCGCTCTTGAAAAAAAAAAAAAAAGATAGCGCTCTTGCAGGTTCTAAAAAAATTTCATGACTACAAGCAGGTAGCCTGGGAAACTTCACCAACGCCGTGACGGTGGGACGCAGAGTGCCACTTGGCTGCCCAGCCTGCTCACGCCAAAAAACTGAAGGCTGAGCCAACAGGAAGAGAGAGCGAGGCGGTGGTGGGCACCGAGGGAGCTGTGCACAGCCCCGGCTCTGCCTCGCTCTGTCTGCTGTGCGCCTGGAGCTCGGCCACGTTGGTCCTTTCTGGAACTGATGTCTTCACTTCTACTTGCAAATACTGATTCCCTGCCCCTCTCTCGCCCTTTCCTGTCCATGGGCATCCCTTGCCCCGCCCCCCGGGCATCCCCTGGCCGTGTGCCCACTGCTTGCGCATCAGTTTTAAAGAACTTTAATTCAGCATGTACCCAGGTGGTGCCTGGGAGAAATTGAGGTTTAGAAAAGAAGACAATCTGAGCCCCGGAAAATACCGGATTTTTCTAACCAGAATGCTACTTCTCATTCACGCTATCTAAAAGAGCAAAAATCTTGTGAAACTGAATCATTTGACAGTAAAAAGAACTGAAGACCTGACCGTACATATGAATGACGCTTACCTAAGCGAAAGAAGCCAGCCACACGGGGAGCACATATTACACGGTGCCATGTGCATGGAACATCTGGAATGTGCCAATCTGCAGGGGCTGAATAGATGGCCGGTTGCCTAGGGCAGACCAGAGCCTAGCTGCAGGACTGCTAGTGAGCATGGCGCTTCTCCTGGGGGCACACAAGTGCTCTAAAGTTGATTGTGGTGATGGCTGTAAAATCCTGCATATGCAAAACACTGATGAACCTTATGCTTTCAACGGATAAACAGTATGATATATGAATTATATTTCAATAAATTAGCATATATATGTACATAAAAGAAATAATACTGGGCCGGGAAATGTAGCTCAGGGCACAGTGCCTGCCCAGCAA